GGCCTCTGGTTACAACAGTAGCTCCATACGAAGGACAAGAGAGGAACTGTGGGGAAACCAACCCCAATGGAAGGTGAAAAGGGTTTTCTGTTTGGGTGTACGAGTGAGGATGTTTGAAGTTTACTTATTCAAATTGTTAAAACAGACAGTGCCAGAGCTTGTGGTCTTCATTACAGCTACAGGTGGATCACGGACATATATGGGTCAGTCTCAGAGTTTGAAATATTTGTCTGAATTAGTTATAGTCAAGACCGCTAGAGCAGAGTCCGAGTCAAGACTGAGACAAGGACATATTGAGTCAAGACCAACACTAAGTACTCGAATTCCAGTCAAGACCAAGACCAGTAGTGGCTGAGACTGAAAGCGAGACAAGATTGAGATTAGACTAAGATTTTTTTTTAGTTTTTGGTTGTGATGTGGGGGGATTGGGCTCAGACAGATTTTTTTTTTGGTTTGGATTTAAAACTGCTGCCCGTCAGGTTGGACTTGGGCAGAATGTTCTCAGGCCATATTTCATATTTGAATTCAGCTCAAAATTTCAGCCCTGATTAAAGCTCTAGTTCAGGGCTGCCCAAAGTGTGGCCTGCTAGAAAGTTAGCCTAATCCCTTCCCCTCTCCCAATGAGAGTACAAACATATTTTTATTCTCTTACACTGTTTACATTTGTATTTCTGTAGAATTTTAGTAAGAAAACACAGTGCAAATGTTACAAACAGTATTTTTCACTATTTGCCTTCATTGTTTGTATATTTTTTTGCATATTGATTTGTGGTTTTGGCCCCCAGTCCCCCACAAACATTGCAAGACAAAAAGTTGTGGCACCCATGCTCTAGTCGAAGTGCGAAAGGAAAGTGTTAATTGAACTGTGGAAGGTCTGTCTGTGTTGCAGCAGTATTTTCCCCACAAATTCATCCATTTTGCCAAGAACTGAAGGTTCTTTGCAGGGCAGGCCTGGAAGGCAGTGAGGTGATGCAGTATAGTGAAGTGGTGAAGTGGAAAGTGTGTGTGTGTGTGTATAGGGCAAGATTATGACAGGCAGCGTGAGCGATCTCAGCAGTGTACCTTGTCATGTTGCCCTGGCAATGACCTTCCAAGTTACTGCTTAAAAGTTTCAGTGCAAACAACATTCCCATCACAGAGAAACAAAAGGAATTTAGCAATTGCAAAATGCATCAATATATTTCTGCGGGTATTTATTTACTGTAAGATTCATGAATACTGGCAAAAATGTGCGTGTTGTAAAATGTGAGTAAACTAAAAGAAATATACTGGTGACCAGATTTTGAGGTTCAATAAGATTTTCAATTCTTGGGTCAAGATTCAGTTTGATTTTTGATATTTAACATACTAAAAATGTTGATTTTACAAAACTCTACTTATATACACTCCTAAAAAAAGATGGTTCTTTAAGGGCACTTTACTAAAGAAAATGGTGCTATATATAACTATGAACACCCAAAAACCCTTGGCATGATTAAAAGGTTCTTTGCATGATGAAAGGGTTCTTCAGATTGATGGATAACTTTTTTAGAAAATAGTTCTTTACAGCACCAACAAGGTTTCTTCTATTGTTACAATGTCAAGTTTGTAACAATAGTAAAACTCATTTTGGTGCTATATAAAATATTTCCAAACAAGTTATATATAGAACCATCTTCAACACATGCTCCATCAATTTGAAGAACGCTTTCACGATGCAAAGGGTTCTGTGAATGTTCATGGTTCTATATGGAATCATTTTCTTTACTAAGGAACCCCAGAAGAACCATCCTTTTTTAAAGGGTGTTCTACACAGATTTATGAATGCAAAATATTGCAAAGTGGCATGTGCTTGCAAAAAACAGTGATCCTGTAAAACAATTTAACAATAAACAATGGGCATATTGGCGATATATTCCATTTAAATACACCATTTTTAGCATACAATCTGTTACATGATTTTCTAATACAGCATTGAAATTGTTACACACTTACCCATGTGTCCTACAACCAGCCATTAAACACCATCATATGCAAGACAAGCTTACTGAAGCCAGAGACCTTGAGGGCTGTCGTGTTCCAGCCTAATCTCCCCACACTAGCCAGTGATCAATTGACTTTCACTTTCTACCTCATCTTCTGCAGCCCCATCCATCACCCTGACGCTCAGCCCACATTTGCTTCAACAGAAAAAATTACCAGTGCACTTTTACCCCACAACTCCAATAGTGCTTTCAATTATCCACTTATTTAGAAACCTCAGGGAAATAATAATAATAATAAAAAAAAAAAAACTATGTTAGGTGAGCAGTGACCTCACACAGCAGGATTTTCAGCGCTCTGTATGTGAGCCTGTGTGATTCTGAAGTGGACTTCGCTACAACAAACACTTCCAGCATGTGAGCTAATTAATCTTCCCAAACACCAGCCTGTGGGCATCATGGCTGTTTTCATTCGAGCAGGTTATTTAAAGAAAAACAGCGGATCGAGTGGGAAGGAAACGCCTGTCTAGACATCGGCCCAGGCAAGCCGTACATTTTCCAGCAGCCCTCTCTCAACCTGTGCTGTTTCTCTCTCTCTTTCTTACCGTGTCCCCCCCCCCTCCCCCCTCCACCTTACGCAGTGGCTACAGGTTGACAGTGTAAACATGCCAGGTGAGTAGGAAACGGTGGGAGTCACTGAGCAAAGCAGGTCTCCACGGCCGAATGGCTCTCTTTCACACGCCCCACCGTCATCTGCTCATTCTCCAGAACAACACGCACACACTTGGCTAATCAATCACCCAGGCAGGCGAGGCTTAGAGGGCCAAGCTCTCAGCACAAGGAGTCCCTCTCGACTAGTAAGAATGTAATGATTTCAATACAGTATTGAAAAACAAGAAACTTAAAGTGTAAATTTAAACATTTAAAGTTACAGTGCATCGAAATTTAAAACCGAACCGCTGACATATCCAAGTACCTATTATTGAAAGACTACTAATTAATAAAAACCAGGCATTTGGGTGTATTTGTGCATTGTTTATCGCTTAACTGCATCGCTACTATGCAATAATTGGGTTTGTATTTTTCTGAGCCAATTCTGTACAGTTTATAATTTCAGCTTTGCACATAAAAGACATAAAATATCAAATCGAACTGAAATTCACACCAAACTTAAAAACAATATGTGCATTGTTACACCCCTATCAGTTACTAATAGGTACTCACTCTGTGATTTTCGGATCGATGTTGCCGATCCACAGACGATGGCCCTCCTGTGACGAGCCGCTCGAAAGGATGGAGGCATTCTCCACTGTCTCTGCAGGCGACTGCATTGGGCTCCTGGAAAGTGAGAGTAAGAGATTCAGCTTCTTAAAAACGACATCATGGGGCTTGGTGAGCTACAACATCCTAAAGGATGAGTTTAGGATAGGGTTGCCCTTCGTCCAGGATTTCTCAGGATTGTCCAGGTTTTTGGTGGCTTGTCCAGGAAAAATTCCTTTCCTGGTTACAAAATGTCCAAGAATCTAAGCATTTTCTTATGTTTTTTTTTTAAGTGGAATTCAATTTGCTGCGTCAGACTATGTGCATACAAAGAATAGTTTGATTAGGTTGCATTACCTTCAATGTACAGGGACAACTGTTTACTGATAACTGAGAGATTAAGTTCCCTAGCTGAAATGACAGTTACCTCACAATTACCCGACTGATCAAGCACCCAAGAATTTGTACAGGGCTGATTTGGCAACCCTACTCTACGACCGCTAATAACTGAGGTGGTGCTGTGGTTTCTCCACACCACACTGCTTGGTAGAAAGCTAACCACATGTTGGTTTTAACACCATCTCATATATTAGACAGTGAATCAAACAAGCTTTCTGAGACTGAGTGACTGCCTGATGTCTGTAAATCACTGACTAGAAATATATAATTTCAAACATGATAGACATGCTAGATACAATGCAAACAGACAACAAAACAGCTATTTTGTTCTAGATTAACTCTTAAAAAATGGTTCTTCAAGGGTTCTGTAGTAAACGCAGCAGTTCTATTTAGAACCATTTCAGGCTCAAATGGTTCTTTGCATGGTGAAATGGTTCTTTATATTGATGGAGAAAGTGCTGTACATGTTTCTATATAGAACTATTTTATAAACGGTTCTACATCACACCCAGAAAGCTTCTTCTGTTACAACTACAAGCTATAAGCTATATGGAACCAAATTCAAAAAGATTCTATATAGAACAATATACAACAAATTTCCCATAAAAACAACATTTAATCACGCAAAGAACCATGTAAGCAAGAAATGGCTCCATATAGAACTCATGGCTCTAAATAGATCCACGGTCCTTAATAAAGATTCTTTGAAAAAACATCATTTTTAAGTGTGTAGACGGTGAACCATGTCGGCGTTTCTGAGACTGAGTGACTGCCCGCTGTCCGAAAATCACTGATTCGAGATGTTTCACTGTAAACATGATAGCTCGCTATGTGCTGTATGTAATGTAATTATAAACTCTCATAAACAATACAACGCAAACAGACAACATAACAGCTATTCTTTTCTAGCTTGGACAGATAATACACAAACACTGTCTGAATCGACATGCTTTTATAGCTATAAATAAGTTACTGGCCGCCAAAAACAGGCAGCGCTAACGTTAACTTCATGGTGAATAACTCACATTAACATTAGTAAAAATATCAATGTTGTATCACTAAGGTAGTTAGCTAACTAGTTAGCTTAGCATAGCACTGTTTGTTGCTCTAGGTCAACTAAATCCTATTTTTTACTTACCGTAAACTCTCGTTAACCTTTACAACTCGCGACTTGAAAGCAGGACTTAGAGTCGCGGTAGTAAAGTCTTAAAAACGAACCATATCACCAGTTCACCCCTAAACTAACCGCTTGTAGTTTATTTGACGCGCTTGTTGACAGCTTCGGCGCTAACAGCGCTAGCAGGACAACGCAAACGAGTGACGTCGTTGGCGTGGAGTGTTGATGTTTCACGCTGAAATAGATGACGTTCCACACACTTTGGTGACGTTTCTCACGCTGTACCCTTGAGATGCTCGTGTTTTGAATTAAAGTGGCTTCACCAGGCCATGCTTTGTGGAGGAAATCTCACTGTATGAGTTTAGTAAGTACATGTAAATGTGTTATTTTAATTGTAGTGAACGTAGAAGTGTCTGTGCTGCTAACACAGACTGTTCGTCCGCTTGCTGTGGCCTTTTACTTGCAGACAGTAGCGGTAGCTGCGAGGCTGAAGTTCACGTTTCCTGTTCGCCAGCGTCTTCGAATTTTCCCGTTCCGCCTTAAATGGTGCAGCAGATACAGTCTGGCGCCTGAGGTGTTATTGTAACTGCTGCACCATTTAAGGTGGAACGAGAAAATTCGAATAGGAAGCTGACTTCAGCTTCGTGACGGTAGCTGGTTAGCAGTGTGACTGTCTGAACATAAACACATTTATTACACTTTATACTGGAAACGTGGCATTAATTAATGGTACTGTGACTGTTTTGTCACTGTCTGACTCAGTGTGATCTTAAGAGGAAAAGATGTATGCTATTGAGGAATGTCAGCTCATCCTCTGAAGCCACTCTTGCTTCTGCTGTGATATTATGGCTGAAACCATCCTACTGGTGCACTTACTGCCACCATCACTTGGATAGTTATTGTGTCATGTTTTACAGTTACTGCTAACACTTCTTTCATGAGGCTATCTCGCACAATAAGGGCGCACCAGCTGCCCTCGCCACGTACTGGATTCATCAGTCCGAGATGTGCGGAGTTTCACAGACCACCTGTGCGACAGTTTTTCCACTTCAGTTGCCCTCTAAAAGCTGCCATCATCCCCTGCTCTGTCTTCTCCTCTTGTCTCGCTTAGATGGCTAGAGTTGCCAAAGTCATGCTTTTCAGGTTTGATCTGCCTTTAACCATAACAGCTGCGGCTTTCATCAAAGCTGCCACACGCCGTCATCGAGGCCTGATAAGAATCACTTGTTTGAGAGCAGCAGTCGTTGCGTCTGCTTTCAGCTCTTGTGCCGTCTGACCGCCACTGACATGGTGGAACATGGCAACTGTGAAAACAAACAGGGGCCTGACCTATCTCACCGGCTGTCACTCTGGAGACAATAAGCAAGGCTTTATTTTGTCTAGCCTGACACCTCACACCTACACAAGAGCTACTACCTGAGATTTCCAAGCATGTATGGAACAGCACCACTCTTACAGGTGTATCATCCAGTGAATGATTTATGGTAGATTTGGAAATATCAGTTTTTTTTAATTATTTCATGCCTTGTAATGAGTTAGACTTATAACTTTCAATTGATTTTAGACTGGAAGTTTACTAGAGCGTTTTTAAATTAATTTTAGAGAAATTAATTTTTTTGTGGAAAAATTGTAGAAGGTGTATAGAAACATCTTCATGGGTTCACATTTAAGAAACGCCCCCTGGTGGTAAGAGTAAATGATGACAATAGTAATTAAAAAAAGCACAGATGCACACTGTATGTTCAATTGTGTGCTCACAGCTTGTACCCCCGTAGAAGTGCATTGTCAATAGAATGGAGCAACTGCAAATGACCCTAAGGTCACTATGACCAATGTCAAGCATCAGCTAGAGGCGTCTAAAGCCCCCCAGCACTGGGCTGTGGAGCAGCGGAGCTGCGTTCTCTAGAGTGATGCAGTCCATCTAGTACCTTTGGGATGAGTTGGTGTGATCTAGAACTGATCATCCATCATCAGTACCTCACCTTACTAATACTCCTGTGGCTGGACGTGATCAAATCCTCACAGCAGTGTTGCAGTGTCTAATGTAAAGCCTTCCCAGAAGAGTAGCAGCTGTTACTACAGCAAAGGAGGGCAAATCTATTAATATCCTTGATTTCAGAAATAGTGTATCATATTGAATATATTTAAAATGTATATACAGCGAACACATTTCTATCTGTCCCGGGATTAGCAAAAGTTAATCATAAAGTCAGAAAAATCAACAAAGCAGAAAGTGACCCGCACAGCACTAACCACAGGAAGCCAAGCCGAGTCTGATGTTCCAGAGTTTATTATGTGCACCCTATTGTGTATTATATTTGTCATATTATGTCATCTATGTTATGTCACTGTCCTAAATGTGTTCAGTAGCATATTCTGTTAAAATGCATGAAAAAGTAACATTATTAAGAATTGTGGTTGGCAGTTTTCTTCATGTAATTATTCTGTTAATGCATTTCGTGAAAAATATGCTTATCATTTAAATGAACTTCCAAAAAGGTAATTTTTGTCTCTCACTGCAGTGCTTCAGTCCACTAAGCTTGACAATTGCAAACTTGTCTACTACTGAGGAGATTATTAGTTTGATCCCTCAGAAGAGCCCAGTAACATTTTTTTTAATAAATTGACCCTTAAAATGACCTTCACTTAAGATAGCCATTTAATAATACCATGTTCAGACATTTTGCTTACAGGACAAATGAGTGTAAAATCAGACATTAAAATAAAGGAATTGTAATTCACATTAAAGGAATTGTAATCACTTAGATACTCATTCTTAGGTTAACATGAGGTTACATGTGACTACTGTGTTATCATGTGACAAACTTTGCTTTACTTTATGTTGTGCTACTAGCAATCCTGCAATATTTCAGGCTAGATTTGTTACAGAATCAGTTCAGATTTGCTGTCTGATCCAGTATTTTCTGCTGATATCTGGCAGATATCAATACTGGGTATTGGGCCAGTGCTGAATCTAGTTTAAATAAATTAAAGGGCTATTCTACATTTTTCTTCTTCTTTTTTTTTTTTTTCGCTGAGAGCCCCTTATTACATTTGTGTGGTTTTATGTACAAACATCCCTAATTCATTTTTACCTGACCATTTTCCAACCTCTCTTTATCCCTTAGAGTTAAACAGGTTTTTGTGACAAAAGCAACAAATTCATAATTAGCAGCTTAGTTTTCATATATGGACTGCATGGATAGGAGAATCAATAATATGTTTTGAAACATTTACATAGTTTATGTTGTACACCAAACTCTCGTTTAAAAAAAAAATCATGATGTGAGCTCTTTGAAGCATGTTAAAAATTAGTGCAGTTCTCTGATGTATTTTCCCCCTTCCTCTCCTCTCATGTGCTTTCTTACTACAGCTATGGCATGTAGCCGGCTAGGGCTGCTGCGGCCAGCGCTCTGCTTCATAAGAAGCCCCCTTCCAACCTGTGTGAGAGTGCCACCTCTCCTCCAAAATGTCTACCCTCATGTAGGTGTCTCTCCTCCTTTTTTTGTCCGCCATTACGCCACAAAGAAAAGTAAAGGTCAGTATAGCACCTGTATCACTCCTCTCTCTCTGCACCACAACACATATGCCACACAGACCATTTCAAAGGGCTGAATATAAGGGTGGGGGTGGGTCTGCTGTTTGTTCTTTAAAAAGTCTCTCCAGTGTAGTGCTTGCTTAGGTTCACTGGAGTGGCCCTTTAGAGTCCATATGAGAGGATGAGGAATTCCTCTTGTGTCTTGCTTTCATATGTAATAGCAATGATAACCTACCAGCATGCTGGCGAGTCCTTTCATTTCTCTGTCATTCTCTCTCTCCCTCTGTCCTCTCTGTTTTTGAAGCAAATAGTGGTCATGTTTAATCTCTCCATTCTTCTTTATTTCTCTGCCGCAGCGAAAGCAAAGGGCCAGGCGGCCAAAGTGAGCATCAATGCAGCCCTGGTGGAGGACATCATCAGCCTGGAGGAAGTGAAGGAGGACATGGCCGTTGTACTGGCCACACTAAAGGACGACTTTAGCCGCAACCTGGGCATCCGAACCTCGTCAGGTCAGGATTGGGCTCCTTTACACACAGCTGCTAATGCTTAAAATATTTGTCCGAACTGGACATCAAACATTTTTTGGGCTTGGGTCAGGTTCAGATTTCAAGCAGTTTTTTTAATCCACTATGTTGGAGTCACTCGTGTTGTGGCAGCAAAGTCCACAGGGCCAACATGAAAACAAACCATAATGTGAAGTTTATCCATTCTAAAAACTTTTGTGATATTTTGAAGGCATTGATTTAATGATTTACTTAATTAATGCAGAATTTATAACTAATTGTGGATGATAATGTCCAGCTACAAGGTAACTTTACAAATACTGTCATTAGGACTGTGCAAGCTTACTCAGAGTACTGCTAGTGGTCAGGTTCAGATGTCTTGAACCCCAACAATGACGTGCACCCAAACAAAGACCAGCCTTTCCAGCAGTGCTCATTTTTCTACAAGGTTATCAAGGGCAACCTCATAACTGTGACCAAGGTTACATAAGGCTAGAGGAGCATTGTGTTGCCTTGATCTCCCTGAGGGTCAACATACAAAGATCCATCCTTGGATCGATTCTGTTACTGACTATTGTTCCACAAGGTGGGAACTCTTACCCTGTTTGTGGTTCTGCTTCCTCGAGTACATCCAGGTCAGGCCTGTTCAGGTTAGACCGGTCCAATCCCTAATTGCAAAGTTGAGGCTATTACAGGGGTGGGAGTTGTAGTGTATGCTGTGACTTTTTCCCCTGATCAGCTGTCACCAAAAACAGTGAACAGTGTGCTGCCCCTAATACAAATTATACATGGACTTGAATAGCTAACATATATATATATAACTAAAAAAAACTTGAATAGCTAACATATATATATATATATAACTAAAAAAAAGCATTTTCAACACGTACACATTGTTAGTCTAATAATGATATCAATAGTAACTTTATTAATATAGCATAATCAAATATTTTTGTTAATTTTTGATGAACAATAAAGAAAATAATATAAACCAAATAGTGTATGGCATAAAATAACATTGTTTAATAAAAAAGTAGAAGAATAAACAAGCATTGAAGTAGAAAGAATAGTACTATACTATAATACTATAATATTATAGTAGTGCTATTAATATTATTAAATGCTTTTTGTATCATTATTTAAGCATAGTCAAATATAAAATATAAAAAGCTGGGCCAATATAAAAATAATTGCCCACCGCTAGGATATTTCGTGACCCCAACAGCAGAGACTTTTTTTTAAACCCGTGCTCTTTTTATTCAACTATTGACCTTCTCGTTCCTCCTCCTCCCTCATTCCCTCTTCCCCTCCTCCATCCCTTCCTCTTCTCTGCGGCTGTGGCTTCATCCGTGCCGGCAGAAGGACTTAGACCTGTCAAGCCGCTGAGCTTGTGGAGACATTTGGCTAGTATGACATCATTTTTTTTAAATGGAGAATGATAGTCATCTGGGCCTCATTACAGAGAGTGTTTTTGTTGTGGAGGAGGGGAAGAGTCACCTTCACTTTGGGAAGGAGGTGGTGGAGCAGCGGATTAATGCGATGACCTGGTGTCTGGGCCAACGCTACATGGATTGTGGCCTGCGGTTCTGGCTGCTGTTGAATGCCATGCTCTTTCTCTCTCCAGCATGGCTTCTCCTGTTCCCTCTCTGGGCAGCAATAATGCATATGGGCCCACAGACAAATGAGCCTTTGAGGGGCAACATCTCTCTTCTTGTTCATTTGTATTCTTCCAAATGCTTTGAGTTGAGTATAGATAAGCCTTTGGCTTCCATACAGTGTCTCATTCTGAGCCAGTAATGGACAACTCTGGGCCCTCAGTTCACTATTTTGTCTGCTTCGACACACAATTCAACTAGTTGCCAAGGCCATTCTAAACCCTGTAGAGCTTTTGCCTTTCAGAACCTGAATTAAGCTATCCATGCTTCGCCCCCCAGCTTCTAACTTCAAATTATATTTATCATGTGTATATATTAAATGTTACATTTAATATATACACATGATAAATATCAGGATATATATGTATATGTTAGGATATATATATATATATGTGTTTATTTGTTTGTTGTTTTGTTTTTTTGTTTTGTTTTGTTTTGTTTGACAGGTTGGTCAGTATCCGCTTTTGGTTATACCTTCAGACCGTCTCCAAATATCATGGCAATATATATTTTTACCTGAAAGCCCAGTGTACAAGTTGCGTAAAAATGCATAAAATACATAAAAGTTTTGCAAATCATTTAAAAGCGTTTGTCGCTTCTGTGCTGTTTCATCCTGTTATTTTATTTAATAAATTTCAAAACATCTGTCTAACAATAGTTTGTAAATGTTAAACATTGCCAATAAGACCAGTGCATCTGTTTTTGTCTTAAACACTGAATGTAGTGTACCATACTGCCAGTTCATGAGCTCTATGTTATTAGACCAAATTTCTCCTTTTAAAACAACTGTGAATAATGTAGGAAATTAAAATTGCAGCTCTTCCAGTGTACCTGGCACGCAGTGATGTTTAGGTAGGTGGTACATGTCAAATTGACGTCCACATGAATGTGCGGACTCAGAGTTTCCCAGCACAACATTGCTCTTCATCAGCTTTTCTGTTCTCCAAAGGTGCCATCACTTCTCCAGGTAAAGGGTGCACAAGTATGTAGCCTCATTGTTTCCAAAATGCTCCAACCCAGTCATCTCTCCATAACAATTAGGCTCTCGTCAGAGTCGCTCATACTTACACATCATATGCCTGCACGTTTCATTCACTTCCAACATGCCAACTGTGAGAACCGACTGTTTGCTTACCGTTTAATATGTGACAGACCTTGACATGCCATTGTCAGGAGATATCAGCGTTACTTGCTTCATCTGTGAGTGGTCATAATATTTTGGCTCATCGGTGTTTAAAGCCTGTTCAGCCTCGGAAAGTCGATAGAAAACTACATTGTCAAATCATGGATAGATCTGTGTCATGAAGAATCACCATCAGGCTTGTCCTCAAAGCAGAGAGAGAGCAAATCATGAACCGGAGAATCCTTTCAGGTTTTGAAGAGAGGTTATGTTATCAGAGAATGCACTCTTTATCTGAATGCTAAGTGACCTTTGGGCTCCTCTGATGGAGAGGGCAGGAGTTGGAGGCATGACCAGGAAGAGCTCAATTGGTTAATAGCCTCCCGGTTGATCCTCATCGTTTTTATAATGGAGGAAACGGCAGTATGTAGCGCTGAAGCGTTAGCAGATGTGAGAGGGACCAGGTAACACGCACACACATACAGATAGGGACCTGAGTCTAGGGCATGTCTAGTCATTATCCAAAACCGGCAGCCAAAGATTTCGCTCATTGTCGGGGCACGCGCTGTCCCTAATGACAGAGTGGAAGTTTGGTTCTTTGTAAGCCACATCTGCTCTATTAAAGCTGTCGACTGATTGGACTGGCTCTGAGTCCAATTCGCAAATGGTGTAATTTTTTTTTTCTTTAAACCATTCCAGGTATTGCCATTGAGGCACATGTTAAGAAAATGGTACAAATATGGACATGTTCTCTTGAGCTCACAAACGCTCGCTTTGAGCGGAAAGACGCACGCAGGCTCTTGAAAAGATCAAAGTGGAGAAAGAATGATAGTAGATTGCGGAGTGTCTCGGCAACTCTCCACCTTTTCTGGAGTGAGGGATAGAGAGAGAAAGAGGAGTAGGGGTGATGGACGGATAGACAGACAAAGTTAGTGAGGTAAAACAGAGGAAAGAGAGAGAGAAGGAGAGCTGTGGAAGATGAGGGAACGCAGATGAGGGGAGGAAACGTGTTGGACTGAAGCTTTTGGTTCTCCGTCTTGAGAAGGAGCAGAACGAGAAGGTGAACTGCTCACCTCCCCAGAGGAGAAAGAGAAAGAGAGAGACTTTCAGTCATACTTCAGGCAGTTGCCTCTTTCTTTGTTTCTTCCTTATATGTTCAAATTGAAGAGGAAAGAAGAAAGACTACAAGTAGGGAACATCCCTGAGCTAAATATACTCACCATTTAAACATCTGTCATTGTTGTCCGCTCTGCCAGTGTCCTGTTTACAGCCCTCATAAACAGTCTGTAAGATTGTGTGTGTTTGTGTGTGTGTGTGTGTATGTATATATATATATATATATATATATATATAATATGTATATGTGTATGTATGTATGTATGTATGTGTGTGTGTGTATGTGTGTATATATATATATATATATATATATATGTATGTATATGTAGTTTTCAATTAGGTCTATTTGGGGAAAATTTCTATCATATTTTGTAAAGGTTCTGGTTGAGATATGGCAAATATTCTGATCAACTGCTGATAGTTTACATTAGTTTCCAAAAGTTTAGAATCATTTATTCATATTTTTTTTTGTTCAGTGTGAACTGAAATGATTTAAGCTAGACAGAAGGTATTATAATATGTTTTATTAAATATTTCAGGTTTATAGGAACCCTAAAAATCTCTCAAATTAATAATATGCTGTGATTATCTGTTTACTGTAATTTCTATAATTACCGTAATTTTTATCTGCCCTGAGGTTTCATCTCCACTTTTCAAATACCTCCTCTTTCTCACTAATTTCAAGTTAGGGTGGGGTAATGCTTATCGTATTCGTAATAAATTGGGTCATAGTAGATCACAGTATGCTTTCCTGAGAATATTCTGGATATTGTCAGTACTTAAAAACACTTCCCAACTGCATGTTTGATTACAAAGAGAGCATACTTATTTTTTGGGATTTAGTGCAGCACAGAATGTGCAATGATAAATATAAATGGTTGTATTCATATTTTTGAAAGCATTTTTACATGTGGCACTAATTTTGTCTAACAAATTATTATATGTCAGAAAAAATATATATCGGCACATATCATGAATCGAGAAAGATTTTGAAGTGTCATGATGTTACATTTTGCCATATTGGCCACCTCTTTTGAAGTACTCATCTGCAGCTCATCATAATTCTGGACATGTGAAGTTTCTTTATTTTTTTTAAAGCTTCCTGAAAAGAAATCTGTGAAGTTGTAGTGGCATCATAATACAATACTTTTATACATGTACCCGCTACGAAAATTTGAATTATTGAAAACAGTGATTCCAGACTTTTGAATGCTATTGTATATTTCGAGGCATATTTGTGCTAATGCTGATATTTTGGAATTGTATGCATAGAAAAGAGGTCATGTTAACCATTTAAACTCCCAGGGTCCATATTTGAGCACACACACTTCAGTTCCTCTTTCATAACTACATAACCAAATAACGTGTCGCAGAGTAGTTTATAGTAATTACTGAATAATATGTTTAATTTTTTTATGACTGAATAATGACCGGCAGTTTACAGGGTTAAAATATTACAAATTTTCCTTCTTCAGATTTTAATTTTAACATTTTGTGTAGGGGTGCCCTGATATGGGAATTCTGGACTGATGCCGATATCCGATATTTGTCATATACGTATCTGCCGATGTTGATGCAGATACATACAGATTTATAAAACACAGAAAACAGGACTAAAACCATCTGGATTAACATTACAGGGAAATTTAATCATTATTAGTAGAGGGTTACAAATGCAGCACAGCAACCGAGCATCAACTAAACATTCTGCTCTTCCGAGTACAATAAATACATCACCAAATCAGTCTCAGTTTGAAATATAAAGCTCTGTTCCCTTTTTGTCTGCAGTTAACAATATGATCCTGATAACATTGTGCATCCCTTATTTGCACAATGTGCAAATGTGTGCGCCGGTTCATCTGGAAGATAAACTAAAGCTAACGCAACGTTATTTGCATAAAATTACAAATTATATTACTTAACCATAATTCGTACTATAATATTAAACAATCAGTTGTCCATAGTGATACAACTGTATTATTATTATGTGTTCCGTTTTACTGATCCACTGCAAAATGCTGTCTACTACAAGTGTAAAAATGCATCAATTTTGAAATCTGTTGCAGAATATCAGAAACGTTTGTAATCAATTATAATGATACTAACTCACAGATATCCTCACTTTTGGCCAAAATAAAATTCAAATGCAAAAATCACCTGTATTGTTTACAGGTGCACTGGACCACATCACAGTGACCACCAAGGATGGGAAATTCCCTCTAAACCAGCTGGGCCAAATCTCCATGAAATCCCCACAACTCATAGTGGTGAACATGACGAGCTACCCTGAGGTAACCACACTGCGTCTCACTGAGTCGGAGAAATCAAGCTCTAAATCAAAGCTTAGCCTTTTTCTACTATTTCTGCACAGTGAGAGGTGAAATATTTCTGCATGCGAGAGCCGAACACACTCACATGAATCACACACTCGCAAGCGTGCGCACACACACATACACACACACACTGGTCTTGCTCTGTAACCTGAGCATGGTGGAGCTGGTCCAGCGTGGTTTTGGGGAAATTGATTGATCGTAGAGGGGAAGCCCTTTGTTCTCTCAGAGTGATTGAAGCAGCGGCCAGGAGGCTGACAGAGATCAGGAAATGACCGCACACTGCCCTCTACAGCACAGAACTGCCTTAATGTGTGCTATTTCTAATACACACACACACACAAACATATTTGTTGTTATACAACGTAAAGACATGGAGTCATACATATGTCCCATATGTATCATATATGTGTATGGACCTATATGTAGTATTTGTATCATACACAGCACTGTGCGAAAGAGAGGCCACTTTTCTTTTTTTTTTTGGAGAAATAGTTATCAAATAGAAGATATTCATTTTTCCAGAGATATTTCTGTGGAGATTACATATAAAATAATTCACTTGCATACGGAAGAAAAATACATGAAAAAACAGGAGTTTGTAAAACTGGAGTTCAAAAACATTTTGAAAGATGCAAAGAAAACTGGACTCCGAGCAAAGACCTGGTAGACCACCAAAACTGTCCCCATCAGAAAAACAGTACTTTTATCTTTGAGAGAGAGGAGAAAATCAAGTTGCTTCAGAACTGAAAACATCTGAAGGTGTTTCTGTCCATCCTTCCACTGTGAGAAGACAACTCAGCGCTATGGTTCTGAAAGGATGTGTAGCTGTCACTGAATGTATTTGATTACTTGGATTGTAAAAAAGCAGGAAATGCAAAACCAACTTCTAAGACTGAACTTCGGAGGTGTGGAAAAATATCCCTGAAAGTGAGTCTCCTGAAAAGAATGGAAGCTGTAATGAAGGTGAAGCGTGGACACATTAAAAAACTTAAGGATTAAATTAAATATAGTTGTTGAGGCTTCTGTGTAATTTTCAGTTAAATGTATGTTTTTCTGCCTTTTTACAGTAATATTCAAAAGTTTAGTCACCCTTAGTCAAATTCCATGTTTGTTGATTTTCTAAGTGCAAATAATACACATTTTACTGCACAGTCACTGTTTATTTTCTGAATTTAACATATTTGGAAGAATAAAACAAAAAAAGGAAAGTTTATGGCACATTTTATATTTCATGTTTTATTTTTTTCCAATAAGTTAAACTTATTATAAATTGTGCACTGCAGTTAGTTGACTGTAGAGAATGTGAAAAGCAGTGGTGAAGTCCTGATCATTTTGTCGTTACTGACTTTGACCCTGCATTTTTATCCTGAGAGAGAGAAGAAAATCACATAGACATGCAAGCGCACAATTTTAACATCTCTCTTCTTTTCTTTCTCTCTCCTGTCCGCTTTCTGCCCCTCCATTTTTGTCTCACTCTTTCTTTTACTTCTTTTACTCTTTCTCGTTTGTCTCTCTCTGATATCCTCTGTGATGTTATTAATGAGAGTAGTTTACTGCCTGATGCTCAGATAAGTCTGTAAGAGAGATTAATGGTCTTTCCTTTTGGCTTATAGGTTCCCAGTGCTTCAGGGTCTAGTATCAGTCCATGGCTGAAGTCAACAATCCAACACTTCAGTATAGAGGATTTTTAAAGCTATAGTTCAGCAAGAAGTCAAATGAAGACAGCATTCCAGGTTCCCTAAATGCAGTTGATCATGTTACAGTAGTGTTTTTTTTTGTAGATATCAGTATCATGCAGTGTCAGAAAGAACATTAGCAAATATATTTAGGATTACTTAACAAGGTTTGAGGCACGTTTGTATGATTCTAATTGGTGGGGCTTAAGCATCCATCAGTTGTTTGCTACACTAGCATAGTACCTTCAGTGCAAAACTAAAAAAGAAACTTCTGACATTAAACATGCTTTGACTGAACAACTACATTTCAGATATGGAGAAATAACCATTTTTTAACCATTGTATGAACGATTCTCTATACTAAAATACTGCTTTGTTCACTGAACTATCTTTTTAAGCTCTGTTTGTGTCTCTTGGTATCTTATGCTGTATAAGCCTTGATCTGCCACATCAAGTGAAGCCATAGCATGATTTATATTACCATTAGGTAGCTGTAAGTATGTGGTTTTCTATTCATCACCTTTAAATTACAGTAATGCACAGAAGGATTCTGCTCAGCATTATAGCGTAACTTTTTGTGCACGGCAGCTCATAATGCCCTTCAGTGGTGTGCAGGGTGTCACAGTAACTGGCCATTACCTAACAGGCCTGCAAAAAAAAACAACGTCGAGGTGACTGGCCTGGCCTGAAAGCAAACAGCTTTATAATTGTTCTAATTCATTACACACGCCTCAGCCAGAGAGGCCATTGTTTTGCAGTCATTCATTAAAGAGCTGGGGAAGGTGCTGTTTCACTGAGAAACCCCAGTGGCTGTTGTGCATGTAGCTGTGCAGACAGCGCCTGTGTGGTATCCACTCTCATTAGGAACGTGTTTTCTTTAGCTCCACTCTTCTCGGGCCTTCTTTGAACTCTCGTCGCGTTTTTAATCAAAAGCTCGTCACTTTTTTTAACATGTTAACTAAAACCAGGATCTTTTCTCTCTCTTTTTTTTCCTTTCTTTACCGTAAGAGGTGGAGGCACTGGAAGAAAATAATAATGAAATTAGGAGAGTGTTTTTTGGAAAACACACCACACAGAAATCCTCACTCTCTGAAATTAAAGGAATAGATCAGGGAACAATTAAATTTACAAAATTTATCCTCCCTTAGCCCAAATGTAGTCGATCAGCCAAGGCCTGTTTGGTGTCTGAAGTTTGCTTTTTTCCTTTGCTTTGTAGATAACAAGTAGTGGAAGCTTAAACCCCACCAATTAGCATTGTGCAAACTGCATCATGAGTAATCTCAAAGGCAAAATTCAGATTGTCGTTCACATTACTTTTTTAATGTGACCTTTGTCTGACGTCAGTCTAAATAGACTGTGATCCTGAACTGACCCGCACGTGCAAAAGAACACCGGTCCACCCAGCATGCTCCTCCAGCAAGCACAGCTGTCCTCTATATTTCCTTAAGATTAAAAGACTCCTTTCACATGTTATCCAAACAAGCTGCCCAAACTGCTACTTTAAATTTAAAGGACAAACAGTGGACACTAAAACAACCACTTTGAGCACATTGAGTTTACAGAAAAGAGAAAAAATAGTGAATTTCTATGCTTGTTTTAATTGTGGAAGCTGATCAAGCAGTGAAAGAAAGCTTATTGTTTACCTGCTATGAAAAAGAATGAATAACCACGTAGACCAGACTTTTTTCCCCAAAACTATCCTTGAAGTAAAGCTGATTTTGTAAAGCTGTTAGTTTTGAAGGTCAGCACTGCATACTAAAGGGGCCTAAATCAGGATTGAAAGCATCAGATTCTGTTTTTTTTCTGTTCACACTGTCACCAAAAATAGAGTTGTTTTGGGTTTTTTTTGTTTGTTTCTTTGTTTTTGTTTTGTTTTTTGTTTTTTTTGCACTCAGCCAAATAGACCTGTTTATGGGGTTTCTGACACTGTACTGTTGTCTATAACGATGGAGGCAAGTGACAATTTAAGCATGCCTTTTGCTAATTGGTGGGAATAAGCTTCCAAATACATGTTAGCTATTACTTAGTTATAGTATAAAATAGTTGCAGAATCATATGACAGATTGATATACTTCTCTACTACCTAATCTGCCCAATTACCTTTTATCAGGGAGTAAGTCTTTCACTTGGGCTCGATATCATTCAGAAATCTACCACATTGATACCAGTACTGGTATCTTCACTTAAAAAAATTAATACTTTAGCATGTTCACCTGAAATCTAGTCAATATATCTACTGTTTCTTATTATGAGATTGTTGTAAGAATATTATAAGATTATTTAACTTATTTAAAGACTTTTTTTTGTTTTAAGCACTTATCTAATTAGTGTTTTTTTCAAATGGCTGATAAATAATGCTTAAAACAAGAATTCTCTAAAACAAGCAAAATCTGCTTTACTTTTCGAAACAAGTAAAATAATGAAATAAGAAACTTTCACTATAAAAAAACGTACAATAAGCAAAAATGTATAGAAACAGGTAGAATAATCATATAATAGTCTTACAACAGTCTCATAATAAGAAATATTAGAAATATTGACTAATTTTAAGATGTTTTCACTTGCTAAGATAATTTACCCTCAGTAACTCTTACAAGCTTGAGAAGTTTATTGCTGTAGCCGAGCTCATTGTCTGCCCCTTAGACCAGTGTATGTTCTCCCCAGTGGGCTCAGCAGGCAGGAGCCCCCGCTGCAGGTCATCAAAGGTCAGTGTCCTGCACAGCAGCCTCCTAGTCCTTTCCCAGAGGAGTGTGTGATGACAGTGCCCTGCAGCAGTTCCACGACACACACACCCTCACCTCTGTTACACACCCCTCCTCTCTGCAGCTCCAGTATGGAGAGATGTGTCCCCGTTTACTTTAGATCAAAGGGTCTGCATGTTGGTACGCGGGTGGGCTGAGGGTGCATGGAGGTTAGAGGACAGATGAAAAGGGGAGTGTGTGTGTGTGTGCGTGTGTGCGTGTGCGTGTGTGCATGTGCATATGTGCGTGTGTGTCATTTACACTGCTATTCAAAAGTTCACTTGACATATTAATAATTGTTGTTAGCTGATAAAATACTTGCACAGTATAGATTAAAACAACAGAACTGGACACCAGTAGGTATAATTACATTATTAACAACGTTATTATATAATAAGACGTAATAAATTAAGTTTTTAGTTTTTTACATAATTTGAAAATGCATGTCGCCCTTTACATTGTGTGTAAATTACATGATGAATGGACCGAAAGAAATAGCCCAACATTACTTGAAAAAAGTCTGGTTCCATTGACTTACATTAAAAGTGAAGTTTTAGACCTTAGAAGCTTTTTCTTTCTCCTGTAAAGTTATCATTTTGGAGATACAAGGTTTTGTTCTGACAGCAGTGATATATATGTACACACAAACACACATAATAGACCTTTGTGATCTACAGCTCTGTTCACCATTCTGGACACATGTAAACTTTCTTTCAGCTTCAAACGAACTGTTTGAAACCTGTGAGGAGCGGTAGAGTGGTTAGTAGCATCACGGATGTATCTGTCTGCAACAGAACTGTTTTATATTATTTTAAAAAATGCTCATTTTATAGAGCACAATTTCTGACTGTTTGCTGTGTTTAACATAATGCAAAAATAAAACATGCCATAACTTTTGCATGGGCCACATTTTATATTTAGTTTTTATCCCCAATATGTTAAATTCAGCAAATAAGCATTAATTTTGCATTAAAATGTGCATACATGTGTTCTCTGTAGATGATGTGCTACCTTATTTTTACTTAGAAAATCAACAAAATGTCATTGACCAGCGTGCCAAAACTTTTGCTTTCAACTATTTTTTTTGTTGAATATAGTTAATTAGTCTTATGAGCTGATTAGTAGAATGCAGGTCTGGGTTCAGATTTCTCTCTGATGTCCCCATGCAGACGTATAGATTTGTGATATCCTATCAGCAGCACACTTGATTTACAAGTTATGATGACCAAATATAATACTGGCCATCCACAAGGACAGATTAGGAAATGGTTAAACAAACACAGTAACATGCAAAAATCATTGCTTCTTGTATTAAGTTGTTTGAATTTATTGTAAAATTGATATTTTCCTGAAAAAATGAACACTTACTGTCCAGATAAACAGCTTTTTTAAAGTGTAAGTTTCTCCGATGTCTAAAACTGTATTTACTGTTTTAACTGTGCAGTGGGTGTTCGAGGGTTAGCTGCAGGTACAGCAGCCTCCTCAGCTGGCTGTTATTATGCCTGATGTGTGTGTTTGTGTGTCCTCAGGCCACAGCAGCAGCCACCCGTGCCCTACAGGAGAGCAGCATGAAGCTGAACCCGGAGGTGGACGGTACCATCATCAGAGTGCCCATTCCCAAGTGAGTGGCCACAGCACAGGGCAGAGGCAGATCCATCCAACCATCCATCCATCTATCCATCTATCTATCTATCTATCTATGATTCTCTCTCTGACTGACTGCCCCGCCTCTGTCTGTGTCCCTCTTTCCCCCTCCTCCATCTTTATCTGTCTATATATCTCATTCTCTGACTGACTGCCCCGCCTCTGTCTGTGTTCTGTCTTCTGTCTCTCCTTCTTTCACTCTACCTCTATTTCTGCCTGTCTCACACACCTACTAATATCAACATATTAATGTAACATTTTCAGCAATTCATTGTTTTTGCTGTATCTACTGAGACACCACCTTAAAATATTGAATCAAATAATGAATTTTGTGATTCATCACCCCCCTTTTAATAATGACTTGATAGTTTTCTTTTTGATCAAAATAATAGTTTTCTATTGATCAAAAGTACACACTGAAACTTGTTTGGCCCAAAGGTAGATTAAACACCAGAAAGGTTTGAGGGCTGATGAGTGGGGACATCATCACAAGGGGGAACAGTGTGTGTGGCCTGTAGCTTAGGCTTTTATGATTGTTTCTTCAGAAAAGGAAAAATGGCAAGATCAAAACAGATTTCTGTTTATTATGATAAAGTTACTGTAAATCCCCAAAGAAAATATACTTGTCTGTTAAAAGCATTTTAAAAGCTCAGTATTCCCAAACTTTTGATGAGCAGGGTACCTTTTGTCTACTCACACTCATTTCATCTGGATAACTCTGTTGGTTACCAGCAAATGTGCATAAATTCATTATTTACTATTTTGTTTTCTATCTATTTATGAGAACACCGGTTCTAAACAGTTTGGCATAGTCACAGAAAGCTGTTCTGCTTTCTGGCCAGATGTTTTTCTACATGTGATTTCTTTCATTTCTTTGTGTTAGTTTGTGCTGCAGCTCCACAGATTACAGTAAACAACTTGAGGTCTAAAAGATTATGTCAGTGATGAAATTTAACATGCTACATAAAAGTAAATCCACAGCCATCACTGTATCCTGTTTCATCCAGCTCTGAAGCCCTCTTCAGGAAGAAAAAAAAAACCTCTCCGCGGTCTGCAGTTTCTGACCGCTCCTGTCCGCTCCTGCCAAGCAAAATAGCCACACATCTCTGCCTTTATTCTGCAAACCACAAAACGTGTTGATTAGACAGCCTCGGCATGCCCATGGCTGCTATGGTGGCGGCAGGTGCTCGTCTGGCAGCGGCGTGCGGAGGGGCTGGACGCAGAGCGGCCGCAATCAGCACCAACTCCTCGTGTGGATTTGCATATCTAAAGAGAGCGTGAGGCTTGATTGGCTCAGAATCACTAATTACATACATTGTTTGCAGTAAACAGACACTGCACTTGGACTGTTTGCAAATGGTTCATAGCAAAATGCCAATTAAGGAGGAGGAGGAAAACTTCCACAAATACCAGAATTTAGTAAAAAAATACTTTCAGTCAGTTTTTTTGCACCTATTCCTGTTTGTCTGTAAGACCGGGGAGAAGAAAGGAGGCATCTGGTTTTGCTGCTCCGACTCAGATCTGGCCTGTTTTTAAACAACATAATTTTTTATTTCCTTATTTTATTCCCATTGCTTTGTCTGGAACATGATGGAGGCAATTAAGGCTCATGTTTTCCGTTTCACAAATCTCTGCCAGGGAATTTCTTATTACGTAAATGTCAAAAATGGTTCTTCATATGTGTCCTGTATTTGAAATGACCACTTTGTTGTTCTGAGTTCTTCATGCATCAATACCCATTTCTGTGTGGAGGTACTTTTTGTATATTTTCAAGACAAAAATGGCAAGATTTTCCTTTTTTTGGATATGGTACTATTATTATTATTATTATTATTATTATTACAGTTACTTAATATGTGTATATATATATATACACATACAGTACTATGCAAAACTCAAAGACCACTCTTTTTTATTATTATTATTATTATTATTATTATTATTTGCAGTGAAAACGGCCATTCATTTTTCGGTGGATATTTCTGAGAAGATTAAATATACAGTTATCCACTTGCATAATAAAGAAGAAAACTGGAGTTAAAAAAATAATTAAAAGATGCAGAGAATATGCGACTCAACCACCTGGAAGACCTGGCAGACACCAAAACTGTCCCCATCAGATAAACAGCACTTAAAGCTTTCATCTTTGAGAGAGAGGAGAAAATCAAGCTGCTTCAGATCTGAAAAAACCCACAAGTGCTTCTGTCCATCCTTCCACTGTGAGAACACAACTCAGCACTATAAGTCTGAAAGGATATGTAGCTGACAAGAAGCTCTTACTAAGAAAAGGAGACAGACAAAAATAAAATTTTGCAGTAGAACAACAAAACAGGACATCTGAGATTTAGAGCTTTTTATAGACTGATGAATCTACATTGGGATCAAACAAAAAGTTTGACACACTGAAAAATGTATATTTAGTTATTGGGGCTTTTGTGTAATTTTTGCTGAAAAATGAATAACTTGTGCTTAATGGCCTCTTTGACTGGGAATTAAATAAAGGGCAGTCTCTGACTTTTGCACAGCACCATGTGTATATATAATAGTTCTGACATTGTATAAAAACAAGCTTATAAGTGTGTATGTGTGTTTGACAGAGTAACGCGGGAGCACAGGGAGAACCTGGCTAAGCTGGCCAAGCAGTTTAGCAACAAGGCCAAGGAGTCTGTGAGAAGGGTGCGCTCTAGTGCTTTGGCACAGGTCAAGAAGTCCAAGGAAGGTGTCTCTGAAGACACTATCCGCTTAATAGAAAAGCAGGTAAAATTATGTGTTCCAGAACAGTCTTTGTGGTAAATGAACATGTTTGTATTGCACATCCTTCCCCTAATTACATTGAATTACATTTAGTGTAAGCTAATTGGACCCTTTTATCCAAACAACTCAGAGTACCGATTTTGGGTAAAATTCAGTTTGTATGGTTCATGGGAATCAAACTGGAGCAGGCCTTAGTACTCCATATACTCTAAAACTTATATTTGTATTTCCAGAGGTGGGTTGAGATGGTATGAAAAATTCCTTTCATGATATCCGTGACCAAAACCAGAGTGTGTTTATGTTAAAATATATTAAAAACATCTAAAAAGCACACATGCATATTCAAATCATTTCACCAGAGGTATTACATTGATGGACCTTTTGTTGAATCTCTCATATTTGTGTTTTATTCAACCTCCTGTATTTAAAACATGGAAAATCAACTATAATTTAAATAAATCTGAAATTATCATCAGCACTAATATTTAATGTTCAGATTATAACCATCTGAACATGTTGTCCTGGTGCAATATTTGCAAGGAGACTGTAGCGTAGGCTCGTTACTTTCACTGTGACCTTTTTCACTTTTGACTATGATGATAATCATATACAGTTATCAGAATTATTCAGATTTGAAGCCGTATGATTATTACTGGATTTTATATTGTGATACTATATTACAACCGATATCTATCTCATCCGTTACCCAGGGAAACTGGGTCAAAGACTGAAAAACAGCTCATTTTGAAACTTTGATGTGTAAGCATCTTTAACTCCACATTTCTGAGTTCTGATTATGTTCTTCGTCTTTTCCTGACATTACCAGGTTCAGCAGATAGCAGATAGTTACACAGCAGACATTGACAAACAGCTGGCCACGAAAACCAAGGAGCTGTTGGGCTGACATCGACAAGGCCTTCCAAACCCTCATGACGCTGACCTGTTTATTTTGGTCGTCATAGTTCAAGCTGGAAGCCGGAAACAAAGAAATCCTACAAACAAAGAAAAGGACACTCAACCCCCCCCCCCCCCCCCCACCCCCCCCCAAGTCCAGAAAAGAGGAAAAAAGTAATGATCATGGTGATAGAAATTGGAGTGTTGAAGGTGGCGTTTGGGCGATGTTTGTGTATTTTTCTCGTGCATAAACAAATGTTGCCATGGCACGCCAGTGGCTGTTGGCTCCCCCTGTCCTCACTTCTTCAAACAAACAAACGGGAGGACAGATGAAGTTTTAATGTGATTTGGGGGTCCTCCTCCTAATCAGAGCGATGCCACAAGTGCACTGTTTATGTAAGAAAGCGCAGCATTGAATGTAAACTCTGCGGTCTTTACAGGGTGGTGGAAGTCTCGAAGGGCGGTGCAGGAGCGCTCCCAGTAAGGCAGTGCCAACATTTGTTTCACATTCGCAGCCACTGGGCTAAAAACGGTCATGCTTTCCTTCTGTTTGTGAGTATTAATCGTATAGCTGCCGATACAAATGGAATAAAAATGCACACTGTATTTTTTGGGCCCCTGTGGCCAATTACAGCCTGTTTCTTTGCTTAAAGTTATTGATATCCATCTCTGTAATGGCATATAACTGTTTTCTGAGTAACCAGTGGCATATAACTGGCATGTAACTCTATACTGATATTGGAGCTCTGGATTAAGTGCATCATTTAGTTGGAATATCAATATAAAAGCTTACCCTAAGGTACAAAACACCACTATACTCTTAAATTAAAGGTGCCAGAAAGCATTCTTTGTAATGACACATAAGACTAATTGAGTTCTTTTAAAGTACCATCCATTAAAATGTTCTTTTGGGAGCTGAAAGTGGCTCCAAATAACCATTTTGGCACCTTTAATTTTAAGACTGTAGCCTAGCGCTTGCACTGAAAAGCATCATCCCTAATGGAGAAAAACACAGGGGTGACTGAATAAACAGAAGTTTAGAGGAGGTAGTCCACAGACAGAGGAAACACGCAGGTTCCTGCTGGTCCTTGGGTCCATATGTCAGCAATTTGGGGGCATTGTGTATCTTGGCCTGGACCAGAGGCTCATGATCGATGGAGGGGTGAAAATCCTGAGCCGCTGGCTCGAAAATTGCTTTCAGCTGATAGCTTCATTTCACTTTACATTTATCAACCGGATTACTGCGCGTCTCTCTCCGTTTACAACTGCCATGATGGAGGTGATGGGGATGGCAGTGGAGGGGGGGGGGAGGGGGAACCAAATGTTTTTTCCTGCCATGTCGTTGAAAATATACATGCATAAATTGGCTCTGTAAACTTTGGGCTCGAACATGCGCTCCTCCGCTGGAAGAGGGGAGTGACTTACTGTGCATTTTCTCTCTCTCTCTCGCTGACTCGCTTGCTCACTGCAATGATAATGTAAAGATCTAAATATGATGACAACTTAACAAACCACCTTAATAAAATAGGGATGGGCATTTCAGTCAAAGTTAATGTTCAAATTTTAAAGGCATTATTCGGAAAATATCCAAGTACTACCCCCATGAAATGCATGGTATAAAAAGTCTAGGAATCTTGGCTAAAGGCTACTACACTGGACACCTCAAGAGGTATTGACCGGAAGTGGTGATGCCATCAAGCATCTTACTTTTACTGTGCTATATTAAATCCAGATCACAAATCTGTTTGGTGACATGGCTTGAAATTTACACAGAGGGAGGTGTCAATCTAAGGTCTTTAAGACAAACAGACAAATGTTAAACATCTGTTTTCACCTTAGCTAATGGTATAAGCTTATTCACATGGTATTTCACCTCATACCTTTAAGCTTTTAAGTTTGTGAAGTTAGTTAGCTGATACTAAACCTGATAAATTCACTAAATAATGCCAAAGTTTTATTCCATTAAATATGTATGAGTACAGTGTACAGTGAGCCTGTGCTTGACGTTTATCAACACTTTTCTGCAACGCTTACTATATGCTGTAGCTGTGCTTTGTACTGTCTGCTCCCCGGAGCAGCCTTTCTGTGGTTTCTACTTTGGAGTGAACAGGTAAGAAACTGAGCAAAACATTAGACACAGGCTCTACACTGCCCTCGGGTGGAGCATAGAGTTCAACTCATGGATCTTATTAGAATGTAAAACATTAGAGAAATTTGCATTTGCATATCTGTTCAGTTTTTTTAAACTCTCATGTGCACCTGAGACTCATTTTGCAAAATCCAGCCAAAAAACAGACACTCTTTGTCAAATCTGTGCTGATTTAGTACAGCCAATGCCTGGTATGAAAGCTGGTTCCAATTTTTTTCATTAGGAAGAGGCTCAAGATAGCCGGCAATAACATCTTAAACACGCATAGAACATGGCAACAAGGTTCCTTACAGGAACACAAGTCTGCTCTTAATGATATTGAGAAATACACTACAAGGCTTACATGTGGAGTTTGTGCCCACTTTACTGCAGTAACAGCCTCCCATCTTCTTGAAATGTTTTTCACCAGATTTTGGAGCATGATTACAGGGACTGGTTCATGTAATGTACTTGTTTTATTGGAACTTGGTATCGAAGGTTGTTATGTTGCTATTGAAGACCAAATACATTTGCTCACTACACACTCGACAGTCCTATTGCATGAGGTTATGGGGCCTCCTGCTTCACAACTGAGTTGTTACTCCTACACATTTCCATTTCATATTACCAGCACTTACAGATGACTGGGGCAGTTCTAGCAGGACAGAAAATTGACAAACTGACTTGACTTGGATGACATTCTATGACTGCCATTCTGCTGCCACTGTCTATGGAGATTGCTTAGCCATATACCTGATTGTACAATACTATGCAAAAGCATGAAATATATATTGAACGTATATATTTCATATATTTAAATATATATTTAACAGGAAATTATATGAAGGTCTCCTTCTCTAAGAATGTCAGATCTATCAGTATTTGTCCACTCTACTCACTCTTGTGCACGTTATACTGTCACATTAACTCTTCCATTCTTCCAATCTGAAAACCATCTAGTTACAGCTGAGTCCTCCCAACAAGAGCTGTTCCCAAAGGAATTACTGACATTGTTTCCCTTCAAGTAAACGCTAACATATTACACAAACAACTACTCATGAGCATCTAAAAGGGCTATAATGGAGATATTTTGAAGGAGATTGGATATGAGATAATCCATGTGCTTAAGCAAGGAGAAAGTGAAAGAAAAATAAGTGAAAAAAAACAAGAACTTCCAAAATTGGAGTTCATAAAATGATTATAAGATCCAGAAAAAATGGGGCTCCTAGCATTTGTGCACAACCTGGCAGACCACCAAAACTGTCCCCATCAGATAAACAGCACTTAAAGCTTTCATCTTTAAGAGAGAAGAGAAAATCAAGCTGCTTCAGATCTGAAAACATCCACAGGTGTTTCTATCCATCCTTCCACTGTGAGAAGACAACTCAATGCTATGAGTCTGAAAGGATGTGTAGCTGTTGAGAAGCTGTTGCTGAGAAAAGGAAACAGATCAAAGAAAATTCCTATTGGAACACAAACTTGTTTTGTATTGTATAAATTTGGAATTACTGGATTGTGAAAAGCAGAAAATGAACCAAATTTTAACACTGAACTTTGGAGATGTAGAGAGATATTCCTGCGGATTTCTTTTAAAAACTCCTGAAAAAAGCGGAAGCAGTAAAAACAGTACTGAAAAAATTTGGTTTTACTTTTTTCTTGTTTTTTCATGATGCTGAAAAATAAAGAACTTGTACTTCATGGTAATTTTGACTGGAAATGAAATAAACTGACCTGCACAGTATTGTATGGACTTGATAGCAATGGCATGGCTAAAATAGCTACTAATAACCTACTAATTAGTGTCCACATTCTTTTGGCCATGCAGTGTACTTTGAATATACAGTGTTGTGAAAAACTATTTCCCCTCACCAGATTTCTTCTAATGTTGTTAACTTGTCACATTTATATGTTTCAGATTGTCCAACTAATGTAAATATAAGATGAAAACACAACCACATAATGCAGCTTTTAAATGATCATACCATTTATTGAAGATATTTATTCAAAACCTTTGTCACCCATGTGAAAAAGTAATTGCCCCCTAAACCTAATAACTGGTTGTGCCACTCTTGGCAGTAACAACTGCAATCAAACATTTGTGATAACTTGCACTTGAGTCTTTTACATCGCTTTCAGGATTTTCTGATGGAGTGCAGAATTAATGGTTCCATCAATTATGAGAAGTCTTACAGGTCCTGCAGAAGCAAAGCAGCCCCAGACCATCATACTACCACCACCATGTTTGACTGTTGGTATGATATTCTTATGGTGGAATGCAGTGTTAGCTTTATGCCAGATGTAACAGGACCCAGGTCCTTCAAAAAGTTCCATGTTTGACTCCTCAGTCCACAGAATATAACCCCCAAAGGTCTTGGGGGTCATCTAGATTTTTTCTGGCAAATGCGAGACAAGCCTTTGTGCTTTTTTGGTCAGCAGTGATTTGCACCTTGCAACTCTTTCATGGATGCCATTTTTGCCCAGTGTTTTTCTTATTGTGGAATTGTGTACACTGACCTTAATGGAGGCAAATGACGCCTGCAGTTCTTTAGACGTTTGTCTGGGTTCTTTTGTGACCTCCCAGATGAGTCGTTGAAAGTGGTAAAATTTTGGTTGGTTGGCCACTCCTGGAATAGTTCACAACTGTTCCAAGTTTTCTCTATTTTTGGATAATAACTCTCATTGTGTTTCGCTTTAGTCCCAGAGCCTTAACAATGGCTTTGTAACACTTTCCAGACTGGTAGATTTCAATGACTTTGTTTGGCATCTGTATTTGAATATTTAGAATGTGGCATCATGAGCTGCTTTTTGAGAGCTTCTATCCCGCTTCACATTACCAGACAGATTCTATTTAAGTGATGCTTAGATTCAACAGGTCTGGCAGTAATCATGCCTGGGGTGGCTAGTGAAATTGAACCCAATAGTTAATTGGATTTGGTTAACTGGTTGATTTAGTAGCTAAGGGGGCAATTACTTTTTCATATAGGGCAATTTTTTCAACAATAAATAAAATCATCATTTAAAAGGAGTATTATGTGTTTACTTGAGTTATCTTTGTCTAATCTTAAAAGTAGTTTGATGAAACATTCAAGTGTGAGAAACATGCCAAAAATAATAGAAGAAATTGGGAAGGGGTGTGAATACTTTTCCACAGCACGGTAGTACAGCATCTGAGTACACTTTACATCCTTTATTTGATGAATACGATGCTTTTGGACACTCTAATCTTTCTGAAGTGCGATTTTTGCATCTTCTGTAGAGCACAAGTGTAAAATACCGGATGTGGCCAGTGCTGGGGTCATTAAGAGGCCTACCTATGACGATGTTTTTCTCTCCATCTTCTTCTTCTTTCTTTCATGCAAGGTGCAAATGGACTAACACTTCGCTCTTGCCCTTTACCACCCCCCCCAACACTTCCTCGCGCACCCGTTTTTACGCCTAGTTTATATGCAGATTATTTAGGATTGCTCTGCATTATTCA